AGCAAAATGCAAACAAACATTAACCCACCTGATATAAAACAGACAGCCCAGTTGCAAGTGTTTTACCAGAGACGTAGATGAAAAATTGAAAGAAAAACCTAAGCTGAATCTGTTTATACTAAGGGTACATCAGAAAGGTCTCTCTTTTCCTCACTCACTGATACGCCATTTTCCACCTGATAAAACTGTTGTCAGGGCTTTGCTTGCACATACGCCTTCTTCTCTGCAGCAGGTAACATATCCTTCACGTTCATATCCCTTTTGTAGCAACACATACATCAGAACAATAAAAAAAACAAACTTGCAAGGGGGCTAATTGTATGAAACCCATTAGCAGCTCTTGCCTGAGATTGAACAGGACTGTGATTAACATACTGGAGTTGCTCATCTTCTCCAGTCTCTTCGTTTTATGTGTGCTATGAAATCAACAAAAGGCAGCAGAATCATCAATAAATTATGATCTTTCTGCTTACACTGCATAGGTCAAATTCTTCACTAGTTTAATAAAAACCCTAAGCTTCCAGTATTTTTATGCCAAGAATAAACATCTTATTTTGTCAAAATATAATTGATCATTGGTAATTCAAAACTTCAGAACCTGACTGCCAGGAAAATAAAGAATAAAACTGCATTGTTGCATTTTTTCTTATGGAAGGAAAAAAAACCCCCAAAACACTCTCTCAGCAAAGCTTCCACAGTTCTCTCAACAAAGGTGAAGTTCCATTAAAAATTTCTCCACTTACAAACCTTGTTAAAACAGTACTTCTCAATCCACACCCTTGCCCTAGTTTCACCATTTCATAGCTGTACTGATGCAACTAAAATCCCATCTAACCAAAATACAGCTACCAACATCTTTTACTTTTTCAGCTGCATAAGCATAACCAAGAGGTGAAGAATAAGCATCTGGCAGAAGGCATAAACCTTTAAGAGCAACCATGCCACTGCAAAACAAATCAATACAAAACCCACCGGGACCTACTTAGCAATTCTTACTCTGTGAGCTATCAGAGAAAAAAAAATTGCAGCAGATGCTACACAAGCTAAAGATATTCAGTGTCTTTGCTTTTCAGAAAAAGATGAAGAACTCCAAACAGTAACCCTGGGTTAGAGAGCAGCATCAAGATCCTAATCCTGAGGAGATCAGCACAAGATTTGCCGAATATGTCAGTTCAGGGGCCGGCACCCCTCTCCAAACACCTGCCCCCACAAAAGCAAGTTGAAAGATGGGGGCGGGGAAATTATGTCAACAGAAACTTTATTTCAAGTATTGTTTTTAATTGCCATATCTCTGCACAAGAGGATCACACTGATGATGTAACAAAACCTTCCTGAAAAAAAATAAATCCATGAGGTGTAACTTTGAACATCCAGGCAAAAATGGCTTGCTCTTTGTCATAAATACAGGTTCAGACTTCTTTGCTACCGAGTCTCCAAGCTGGGGTGCGGCTCAATAATCACTAAAAAAACTGAAATAAAAATTTTGTTTCAAGAACAGTTCCTGAACCAGCCTCCCACAATCACAAGCTCTGTAAGAGGCAGAGAGCTACGAGCAACTTCGCTAAAATACTATGAAGCACCAACATATGCAGGCAAATGGTCCTGTAGCAGGCCGAGCTTGTCAAACATAAGCCTCAGCGCTATGAATTAATAGAATTTGCATCATGAAGAAGCTTGTTCCGTTCCTCCACATTATTTTCACATGTCTCAGTTCAGCATTTGGGATCACCCCTTTCCCTTCACTACTTACCCGTGCCCTCGGCAAACAAAGATATTGCCTCCTGGTAAAAAGCTTTAATCGCAATATGAACTGAACTGCTACATTTTTAAACTTTTGCTTTAGAGTAAGGTGGCTTGATTTCGGCTTTTAACTGCTGAAGAAAGAAACCAACTCACATAATTAACAAGTGATCTAGACAAGACACAGAAAGAAAACATGCCTCTCAGCATGCCACAAGCTGTACACAGGAACGATCAAAGACAGGCAACATGCAACTGAAACAGTACAATAGCTTACTTTTTTCCCTGCTTTGCATGTTCTGACAAGAAGTTTTGTGATACTCGGTGACTGGATTTAGAAATCCTTAAGAAAATCTGTATGTGTTCACATCAAGAAGAATACAAACACTAAAATAGCTAACTTGAACTCACAGACAGGATCTGTTATCATCTTGTAAAAATGTTCAGAGAACTGTTCATTAAAATGCCACCTTTCCACTGTGTCAACAGAGAAGTTATTTTCAGCTAGTGAAATGTTTTTCCCTGAAATGCTGAAACATTTCCATTCTCATCAGAAAAGCAAGGTAATGAATATAAGTATTTTTAAGGACTCATAACATGGTCTAAAGAGAGTTCTTATACCAATAAGCCCATATGTTAGGAGCAGAACTTGGTTTGCAAATAAGGGTCTGGTAACAAAACTATTTCTTTCAACTGGAACAGTTTTATATTGCAAAACTGGTTATATCAGCATAGTTTATTCATTTCCTACACAGAAATAACCATAAAATAATATTACAATACAACAACTGCATGCCTATTATAATTCCATAATAATGGATGGCTTTATGTTTAATAATGTAACAGTACATTTTAAGCAGTACAGCACATGTTTGTGGATAACCCCTGGATACTTGTGGTAGAGCACATTAGGCAGATTCTGCAAGACATTACATGGAAGATATTCATCAGGGTATGCCAGAGACCTGCTTGATCAATTATCTTGAATATTAATGATGGGACTGGGCCCAAGGGCAAAGACAACAAATATCGATTCCTTCATTCAACTACTTGGCTATAATGTGCAGCATGAGCAAAAATAGAAAGCACCAAGAGCAAGTCATTTCCATTCAAAAAGACAGCAGCACCAGGGTGTTTGGTGAACAAAGCAAGAGTTGCGGCATGTATTTGTTCAATTGCCTCAGTTGGTATTTATGTTCTGGCAGAGTAAGTAGCCTGGTCTAAAACTTGTGTGAATATATTAATAAGTTGAGTAACCTTATTAGGAAACTCAGTTCCAAGTCAGTGCAGAGTTAAACTGATCTCCTGTTTCAGAAAAACAAAACTTCACTGGATAGGAATCAGTGCATTTCTGCTACCAATCAATAAAAATGAATTTAAGCCCAGTCACGCCAGACTCTAAATCCATGCCTGAAAATAGCACAAGCGTATTCAGCTAAGTCGAGGAGGTTTTTAATGTCTGGACTCATTTGAGTTCTGAAACCAAAGGCAGTAAAGGAGCAAGCAAAATTGTCAGTGGGACAACTTGATATTAACCAAGTCTTAGTACACACAAGGTAGAGTTTATATCCGTGATACTAACAGGTGACCTGAGATGCTGAGAATGTTACTCAAAACAAGGCAATTCAGTGGCAGAACCTGAAATTAAAGAGTCAATAATTTTCATGACCCATACAGTACCACAAGAGTTATCTCAAGCAGCACTTTCCAACTTATCCAAAGCACCTGCCTGAAAGGTTGTGAATACACAGTTACAGTTAATGACAGGAAGGGCTGCAGTACCTCCTCCTTACTGCCACAGACCTCTGAATGTATCACTGGCTCATAAAAATGACACGAATTAATGAATACAGAAAAATGAAGTGAAAGTTCTAGCCAAGTCTTATTCTTGATTTTGAAAACTGCAGCAGATGCATCAGGCACGCGACAGAGTACCAGTACTCTCCTCCCTCTGCCAGATCCACGCAAGCAGACACACAGAATGCCTTCGGATAGCCATATAGAGCATCCAGGCCAGTAATAAAAACGTTCAGTGCCAAGGAAAATTATCTTACGTTGGTTAAAACAGAACAGTGGACTGGAGTCTTTCAGTGGACTGGAGTCTTTCAGTTTAGTAATGACTGAGATTTACAAGCAATGACAGCACAGCAAGGGATAACTGACAAGGTTACCTCTCAGCTGGACGCACTGCACTCTATGCATAAACAAGCAATTCCAACTGCATTGATTAGGCTGTTTAATCTGCTTTGGTGAAAAGTCTTCAGATTCACAAACTGCTTTTTCAATTCATGTTGAGGGGAAAAAAGCATGGGTTTATACAATTAATTTGGAGATTTAAAGAAGTAGCTGAAGTTGACAATGCTATATGTACCCAAGATAGCAACGTTATCAGAAATCAGAAGATGTCAGACACCAGACTTACGCCTTGAAGAAAGTAATGTCTGTAAAAGTTTTTAGATGCTACCAATAATTTTGCATTAAATTCAAGTGATGCTTTGATGAACAGATATAATGCTAAGTAAGCATGGGAAAAGTTGGCAGCATTGTGGTACGATCAGGCTGTAAAGCTAGTTTATTGATCTTATTATGTACTCCCATTGGAAATAAACTGATGAATAGATGCTTTCCCACTCCAATTAAAAGAAGCAAGAAAGACAGTTCCTAAAAAGTAGGAAAGAATCAGATCAATAGAACAGCAGTGTTGCAATAAAAGATGCCTTGCTCTTCTGCAGAAGATCATGAGCAATTTGCTCTTCTCTCCTAATAAAAAGTGTAATATGGGATTACACAAGTGCTCACAAATTAAGCTACCAATAAAAGCAGACAGGCAAGCGTAATGGCTGTAAGTAGAAACCATTGCCACCATTTACTTGGAATATCCATTTCAGTCCTCTCATGGTTTTTAGAACATTACCAGATGATGGCCTACATTATATAAAAGACACATAAAAGAATATGCTGCCTAAATAGAGGAAGTCCTAAATGATGTTTTGCATCATGAATAACACGCTTTCAGCAGACAAATAGACAAGAAGCCTTCTCATGGTCCAGCAAGAACAACCTCCAAAACTCTTCTGAAGTGATAGCAAGATAATGAGAAAGAACGTCATACTACGTATGCCAGATGATTCCTATAGTAAAACGTGTGTTTGTGCACACACACATATAAGAGAGCACAATATGAAAAAGAATGACAAGGGGGTATAAGGAAAAAGCAAACCTATTCAGGTAAACAAGTACTTTCCTTAAAATAGACTTACCTGTGACTGCAGTTCTTCCAATTTACGCTTCCTGGCATGAAGAGCTTTACTTGGAAAAGCCCAGAAATAATTGGAAGTTCCAATTCTATCAGTGTCCACCATGCCATCATCAACTAAGCTTTGCAGAATCTCTTTCACTGACATCGAGGCTAATAAAAGCAAAAATATCAAATTAGAACTGCATAGCATCTAAACTGTGGAGAATTAGGAATAACATAAGCCATCATCTACAATCATCTGTATGAATATTTTACTATAATGTCAGCTAGCTGGACAATTTCAGGATGACACCATACCTGATGCTTCACTTGAAGAAATTAATTCCTTCAAAATCAGCAGTTTTTACATAAAGGCTGCCATTCTATACAGTCTGCTACCAGATGTTTGTGAAACACCACTCATGAGTATCATAAAACAGACATGCATATTACAGTACAATACCAGAGCAAACTCATGAGAGAGTACTTGAGAATTTGTCTTGCAATTTTAATTCTAACATGGATTAACATAATTTCTTGATTAGGAGCGCAATTACATATCACTTTGTAAGGCTTATTAAAGCATAAGCAGCAGCAGAGGCACTAAAGCCATCTGTCTACAGACTCAGGAGAGACAGATTTTAGTTTTGATTATATTCAGTTCCAATACAGAAAGTCATCTGCAGTCAAAAGAATCCAAAACATTTCTGAACATAATTGCTCATTTTCTAGCAAATGTGTGGTATAATTCACCATTTAAAAAATGCTACCTGTTCAACAAAGCGAAGTAGTTATTATTATCCTCAAGTGTTGCAGATATAAAGACTTTTGAGCTAATTAATGGTTTTGCAGTAGCTGACTTTCAGTTTCAAGTCTAAAGGGATCCCAGGTCAGAAACAACGAATCTTTTGGAAGCTATAGGCTGGATGCCAACATGGGGGGGGTTTTCACAGGCTAGATGCTTTTCTTTTCAGAGTAACTGGGGCTTGGGTTGTGTAGATACATGCCTTCATATTCAGAGGCAGGATGAATTTGGACTATTCAAACGTGTTATTGGTTTTAGAAACCCTATACTCCGGATTTTTAAATATGAAATTCCATTGCTTGTATTTACTGTTTTGCATCCTCTTCCTGCAAATTACAGTTAAACATACACATGGACAAACTAATCAAGACAGCATCGCGTCTCTTCAGAAGCCTATGAGTGCCTCTGTTAGCCGCTGACATAACCAAAAAACATTGCATTGTGATATTCACATACATCTGTGGTTCCTTCAACAAGTTCATTTACTCTTGCAGTGGTATAAAGATACTAGTCAAGCACAGTGGCAACTACACAAACATTATGCTTCGTCCCCCTTTTGTCAATGAACATAGAAGGAAGCAGAATGAGGAACACAAAACCAACTCAACAGCATAATATAAATCCTCTCTTGGACCTAATCCTATGCCAATGGATCTCATCAGGAAGGCTTCCACTGAAAAGACAAACCCCTTCCATTTACAGCTGCCCAGCCATTTTTTGGGGGTAAAAAAGCTCAACAGAACATTGACTGTGTACACCTAGACTAGCAATTTAAGATATTTGTGACATTACAGCCATTTGAGTATTTGAATCCTCTGTTCACTACCTGCGCATAACAATTTCATAGACTGAAAGTCATAGAATCATAGAATTGTTTAGGTTGAAAAAGACCTTTAAGATCATCAAGTCCAACTGTAAACCTAACACCGCCAATTCCACCACTAAACCATGGCCCTAAGCACCACATCTATGCGTCTTTTAAATACCTACAAGGATGGGGACTCCACCACTTCCCTGTTCCAAGCCTGTTCCAGTGCTTAACAACCTTTTCAGTGAAGAATTTTTTCCTCATATCCAATCTAAACCTCCCCTGGCGCAACTGGAGGCCATTTCCCCTTGACCTATTGCTTGTTACCAACACCCACCTCCTTTCCAGTAGTTGTAGAGGGCGATAAGGTCTCCCCTGAGCCTCCTTTTCTCCAGGCTAAACAACCCCAGTTCCCTCAGCTACTCTTCATAAGACTTGTTCTCCAGACTCCTCACCAGCTTCCTTGCCCTTCTCTGGACACACAAAGTCACTGCAAGTCAGGCATCTCAAAGCCTGGGAAAAACCCCATCCCATGCTTCAGTGGTTAACTTGGAGTTAGCGATGACATTTTAATAATCTCCCATTTGGCCCTAGCACCTAACATAAGTGATAAACATTAGCAAACCAAGGTAAGAGTAAGCTATTGATATCACTTTTAATGGTACAGCCCTGCCATTGACCAGTCTCCCTTTCTAGCTAGTTTTTCCATTATTATTACAGTCACAAACCTAAAATTGTAGCCAGAAAAATTTACAGTGTATGTACAGACCTGTCCCCAAAATGATTAATGGCTCAAGAGAAATAACTTTTGTAAACACTTACTAATCCCTTTTTCTTTTGGAGCAATCTTCTCTATATCTTTCAACTGGAACACATCTTTCTGTGCAAAACATAAAAGACACTTTAGCTCCAAATGACAGCATCATCTAAGCCTGAGTGGTTTTTTTACACTAAATCAATGCCAACAAAAGCAAGTAGGAAATGCATTGTGTGTTTATGTTTCGCTAGGGAAATAGGCTGTATATCCCTCAATAGAATTAGAGCATTCTGAGAATTAAAAAAAAAAAAAAAAACCACAACTATGATTGCAACAAGCCCTGTTCTTTTCTTTTGTACTCCAAAGTCAACGTACTTTGCCTAAAGTTAGACTGTAAACCCCCTAGGCAGAGCCAAGGTTAGATTGCCAGCACCAGATGTACCACATTGCTCAAGTACTCAAGAGGCACAATAATTTTTTTAATAGGTGAAACATTGTGAATTATGTATGTCACAAATATAATTGTAGCTCTGCTTTTGGATCTCCAGGTCTCCCCTCATCTTTTCTAACACTCAGATTTCTTCCTCCTCCCAAAAATGGCAGTGAGATACTTCCTAATCCCTTGCTGTCCCTCTTACGGTAACAGACTCAAAATGAGAAGATTCAAATAGGGAAGGCATGAAGCATTTAACAGCACCTGTGCATCTTCATGCCTTGGCTCCACCTGGGGACGAGCCACCTGATCAGAAGCTACATGAATCAAGCTCTGTCCCTGTAATTTATACATTGATGACAGAGGGCATCAGTGAAATGCATAGCGGGATATACAGAGTGCATCTACATCTACCCGTCTTCCCACTGATGTAAATACAGGACAATTACAGGTTACTTACTGTTTCAAAAAAAATCTCCATCATGCGAACCCTCTTCTCCTCAAAGCTCAGACCTTTTTTCTTGGACTAGAACAGAAAAAAAAAAAACCAAAAAACAAAAAACAAAACCAAACCAACACATTCAGCTATTTGAATACTTAACATCTGCTCCGAGTTATATTCGCCATCCTTTAAAATACCTTACCGCTAACCCCAGACTTTCAGATAAACTACTTCCCAAAGAACCATTACACTAAGCTAATCCACCTGCAATCTATTCAACTGGTGGATCTATATTCTAAGTTTGGAACCAACCTTCCACACACCTTAATCCAGCTCAAGCCTCAAAAGATAAGGAGGAATATCTTTCAGGTTTTTTGTTTAGAATGTTTTTTTATCTTGTGATATAGAGACACTCGTGTGATATCTAGGCCATTTAGGTTTTTTTCAGGAGACAAAATGCATTTTGAGGTACCACATCTTTCTTCAAATTTCCTACCCAACTTTGTAATTTCAAGGTCACATTTTAAAAACTGTGGTTCTTTTATTTCTTTTCTCTGCAGTTGTGTGACCAAGCAGTAAATAACATGGATAGAAATAGAAGCAAAAGGCAGAAATGACCACTCACAAACTGCTACCAGTAATACAAAACTGAGAAACATCCTCCTCTGATCACACTCAGAGACGCTATTTTGACATGCCCCAGTAAAATTAGGATCTCAAATATTTCACGGAGAATTGTGAGTTTTACTGATAGCATTTAGCGTAGCCTTCAACAACCTAAAAGCAGTGGCCATAAGGTGAATCAGGAATGTCTCCCCTTGCCCCACGCCCTGCTGTGCAGGCTGCGAGACCGTGCAGCTACAGGAAGGTGAAAGGGGGATAAAAAGAGAGAAAAAAAAAAAACCAAAACCAACAAAAAAAAAAAAAAGGCATAGGTATTGTTGTCCTTGAGCCAGTGGAAGTGGGGAGTTTAATAACGTGGTCCTTTGAGAAAGACAACATTGGCTTGTTTCCAAATCCCGACAGAAAGTAGTCAATACTATTTTTTACTTCTTAACTGCTGCTTCCTTCTTAATAAATCACACAATAAGGCAGCGTGAAATTTAAAACGTGCATCAAGAGCAAAACGGCCAGATTGATTTAGATTTCAAAACATAAATTGCAAAACTAGTTTATGCAGCTACAATGACACACAGCCATGAGCAGAAGTGATTCGGTGCTATATTTAACAGAAGCACTAGTAACACTTTTAAAAGTCTCCTCCCTTCTGTTTTAGCCAGAGATGCCCTATGTCTGCACTGACATCATAGAATCATAGAATCGCTTTGGTTGGAAAAGACCTTTGAGATCATCAAGTCCAACCTTTAACCTAACCCTGCCATCCCACCACTAAACCA